TACGCAACCAACCCAAAAATATCATAATTTATTATTATTTTTGTAGCATGCAATTTGCGATTTTCCATAAAAACTAACAAACAAACAAAAAAAATAATAATAATAAGTAGAAGAAAAATTATCCTTAACAAATTGAATGACATGTTTTGCTCATTTCGAAAACTTTTTTTTTGGTGTTTTTGCTGTTGAGTAAAAAACTTTAGCTACGAAATTGAGGCGGACTTATCTGCATCTAAGGCTGTACAGCGCCACAGCCTTCACTTGAACTTTTTAGTTTAGTTGTCAAGCAGAAAAAGTTGCCTTCTAATAAAGTATTTATTTATGTAAAATACTATTTATGCTTTTATATATTATAAATGTCTGCACCCTTAACTTTCAACTCGTCTCATCTCATCTCGTCTCGACTCGACTCGACTCGACTTAACTGAACTAAACTGAACTTAACTGAAGTCAACTGATGTCCTGGCAAAGTATTAAAATATGCCGCTTACATTATTTACGGCTTAAGCATCACTGTCAAGCGGCTGTAACGAAAGAAGCATGTAAACAGTCACCCAACGAAGCTATTGAAGATATTCGAGAAACTATCTTCAAACTTATTTAACCTAACACAGCGCACTAACAAGAATTTACAAGCAGTTCAACTTGAAATAAAATCAAGTCGAAAGTTTCAAGAAAATTTGAAGAAAATTTTAGCAAAAGCATAAAACTACTTGTATTTGGAAACGAAACTAAAAGAACTTGAACATTGTCCTTCCAATAACAGCACTCAACATTAATGACATCAAACATCAAAAAAAAAATCAACTAAACCTCATGTTCATAGGAGAGATATCACAAGCACAATCACAATCACAATCACAATCAAAATCCAAATCCGAATCATCAGTATTTTTGAGAGTATATATCGAAATCAGTAGTAAGCAAATATGAGTTTGTGTTATAAAAGTTTTCGCCAACTGCTCTTTGCAGATAGTTTTACGATATGAAGATATTGAGCACCAACAAGGATAATCGCATAGCAGGCAGCAGCAATCAAAGCTGCCTGATACTACCATTTTTGATATATACTTTTATAAACATACATATATACATATATATAATTATATATATATATATAGATATGTTATATGCATATGGATTGACATTACAAACTGACTGAAAGAATGTGCATGTCCTTCTAATAGGATAAATGAGCACTTACGCAACTGTTCAAGCGGTCGGTCGTATGGTCGCATGGTCGTATCATTGCTCTCAAGTAGTTCAGTAGTTGAGGATTGGTAGAACGTGTTGCTGCTGTTGCTGTTGTTGTTGGTTGTTGTTGTGGTATACTTTGAACTTTGTACGTATTACTTTTTTTGATGAGTAAAGTTTTTCAGAAAACTTTTGGTAGAGATTTCTATTTTCCTACTGTTAATTTATTTCTTTATTTTTAGTTTCTTATATTTTTCTTTTAATAAGCAAATATTTGCTGTATGCAAGGCAGATAGATTGAAAGTTGTGTGCTTCTTCTACACAATTTCATTTTATTCTTCGCAATATTCAGCATGCATATCGAACGCAGCTCAATGACAGGACAACAATGGAGTACTTGGAAGTTACGTTAACCTGGCAAAGATTAAGGCATTATAGCTCAAGGACATGCGATTAAAAGTTAGCAAACTTTTGCTAGCCAACGCATTGCGCGTATCTAAGGCAGGATTCCAGCTTAAGTAGGATTTACACATATGCAGAGCTAAAGTTCGTTCAATCAGTTTTGTTTAAATAATTTTTATTTGTTTTCGTACTTGTTGTTGTTTTTGTTGTTGTTGAGCATTTTACTATAATTAAATACTGGCCATTTTCCATGGATAGCTAATTTAACGTCAATATTGACGCATTCGTAGTATTTTATCCATGTCAATATCCTTTTATTAGTTTAATTCGTTGAAAAGAACCAAAACAAAAAAAAATTTACTGAATTTTTTTTATAAATTCAAGTATTTTTTCAAATTGTTTGCATTGATTTTCCGAAGTTGTAGGAGAAAAAGTATTTATTTTTAATATTTTATAAAAACAGTTATTTGATGGAATTTATTTCAAATTACAATTTAAACTGCGGAAATTAAAAATTTATGTGAAATGTTAAAAGTATTAAAAACATTTATTTAATATTAGATGGAAAAAATAACATTTTTACTAGTAGTGAAAAAAAATTTCAAAAATAAAATATCACAAAATGTTGATATAATATTTCGAAACCAACTAAATTCTGTTAACCAAAGTCGAAAATCCATGCAACAGTCTACCAAAGTCCCTCACCAAACAAAAAAAAAAATAGCTTAAATGGTATGATTAAAGTGAAAAACGCTAAAATCTAAAATGAAATAAAATCAAATAAAATAAAAAATACACCAAACAATTCCCCTCCCCCCCCTGACTAGGATAATACCGACTAGCTGGAAACGTTTAAAAAGTTGTGGTAACGTTTTGGGAATAAAAATGACAAAATAAAAATGTTATTTTAACTGCGGCACATTTGCGTGCTGCTGTTAGCTGGAATTGCTTTGGCGCGTCAGCAACATCATAATCATCAGCATAATCATCAACGTTATCAGTAGCGGAGCATCTACACACACCATCTGTGATATTTGGGGAAAGGAATATCAACAGCATCCACAGCATCAACGTCGTCAACATCGCCAACATCATCATCAGCGACATCATCATAAACGGCGAACGCTGTCCGCGCAGTTATCATCATTAAAAATGCATTTGGAGTAAAATTGGCGCGCGTGAAAAATAGTGTCACTGCCATCCAAATGGCTTCCGGTTAATGCAAATTTTGGATTTCAAACATATTTAATGGATCACACACACACGTAAATTTTTTTATTTTTTTGAACTTGTTTTTTAAATTTTTGTTTCATTCACATTTGTAGTCTTTTTATTATACATTTAAACCAACACACACGAAAATTCAATTTAATCAACAACAAATTGTTATTTATGACATATATATATATATATGTATATATATATATATATATATTATATATAATTACATATAAAGATATAAACGATTCAATGAATATATGTATAGTTTGTCTGACCAGAAGTTAATTGCAAAAATTTTAACTTGAAATTATTTAACCAAAATGTAAATGAAAAGAGAAATTATACAAAAATTAAAAAAAATTTTAAATTAAATTAAATTCGAAATTAAAAAAATGTTACATATATATAAATATACATAATGTATATGTTTTTTAGGCAGAAATTTTATATTAAAAAGTTGGCAAGTCTTTATGGTGAAGAACATAAAGTTAACATAAATCTTTAAAATAATTCAATAATTAATTTTTTAAAATAATTAAAAAAATAAAATTAATTTAAGAAAAAAATAAAAATTAATTACGAAAAAAATAAAAATTAATTAAGAAAAATGTAAAAATTAATTAAGAAAAAATTAAAATTAATTAAGAAAAAATAAAAATTAATTACGAAAAAAACATTATTTTATTAGGAAAGAAAAATTAGTTACGAAAACAGTAAAAAATAACTTACATAAATGTAAAAATTAATTAAGGAGAAATAAAAATAAACAGTAAACAAATAAAAATTAATTACAAGAAAAGAGAATCAGGAATGGGAGCAGAAGAGAGAAAGTGACTAGGCATATGTACAGAAGAAGAAAAAGGTATTTAGAAATAAAAGTAGGAAGAAGCTTGAACGGAGAAGGAAAACGAGTAACAAAAGGCCAAGTTGAAATAGAATCAGAAAGAGAAAGAGAAGGGGAAGGAGAAGAGAAGAGGGAAAAGCAGTATAAGAAAGAGGATAGGTAGGAAAACAACGAAAAGCAGTAAGAGAATTAAAGTAGTAGGAAAAAGAACATAGGCGGAAACATGAGAAAAATATTGAGTAAAAAAAGATAACAGGTAGGAATACAAGACCAGACAAATAGATGGGAAAGTTGTAGAAAGGGGATTACGAAAAGTAATAGTAAGAGTAGAAGACTAAAAAGTTAAGGTGACGGAATTAATATGTCCGATTTTTATGTAATATAGTTTTAAATATATCTTTAACCTGTAAAATATACATCGGTTACGAGTATTAAATAGTTAAAATGAATGATTATAATTTATTCAAATTATCAATTTTTTTTTACATTTATTTTTATATTACATAATTCAATTAAGTTATTTAGTAAAAACCATTTTTTGTGGTAATGGTTAACATTGCATAATTTAATCGAAAATATTTTAAAATAGTTTATACAAGTATAATACATTATACAACATTACAACTGAACATAAACATTTTGGAAATTAAAATTCCATTAAAAACTTAAACCGAAAAATTGAAGTTTCGCTGTGTCCTGGTCACATGTCGGTATGGTTAACATGGAAAATCAATGCCAGCAAATTAAGCAGACATAAAACCAACACAGCAAATGGCCAAAGACAATAACTGCAGAAATGCCAATAAAATCAAAATAAGAGTAACGAAATGACAGCCAGAAAATAAAATAACCAGAAATAAAATAAATTGAAATACATCCACTAGAGCAAAATGCGATAAACTATTATGGAGCGTTACTTGAATCGGGGCTCTAATTACATGAGCACATTTTGCAGAACAAAATATAGCTGGGGGAGTTACTTATTCCTGAAACAAAATAATATTCAAAATATATAAAAAAATAAAGAAATAAAAAAGTATGTTAATTTAGATTTGAGTGAGAATTCTACTGAAGAAATGAGACCCAATAATATCGTATATATATCGAAAGTAATACTAGAGAAAAACTGAGAAGTATAAGGATGTGAAAACAGAAGATTTTAAAAGACGCAAATAGATATATATCTGAAGCTATAAGGACAACAAGAGAAACATCTCCATGAGTTAAGGAATG